ATTTCCCTGCAGGAGTTAAGTACCCTGCCTCCAGGCAAAGAAAACCTGCAATTCACAAGATAATCCCCTTTTGTCTCTGCTTGGCCACAAAGCAGAGAGAAACCAAGCTGCTTTCAGTTTCAAAGCTGCTTTCTGGACTTTCTTTCCAAAGAAAAAAAAATTTCCTTTTTAAAATCTGTATTTCTAGTTCAAAAAATCTCAACTGGATCTCAAATGATTTCAGGTTAATCCCACCACTGTGCCACCATGTCAAGGTTCCTCCCCCACTCTGAACTCTAGGGTACAGATGTGGGGACCTGCATGAAAAACCCCTAAGCTTATCTTTACCAGCTTAGGTCAAAACTTCCCCAAGGTACAAAATATTACACCCGTTATCCTTGGAATGGCCGCTACCACCACCAAACTAATACTGGTTCCTGGGGAAGAGCTGTTTGGACGCGTCTTTCCCCCCAAAATACTTCCCAAAACCTTGCACCCCACTTCCTGGACAAGGTTTGGTAAAAAGCCTCACCAATTTGCCTAGGTGACTACAGACCCAGACCCTTGGATCTTAAGAACAATGAACAATCCTCCCAACACTTGCACCCCCCTTTCCTGGGAAATGTTGGATAAAAAGCCTCACCAATTTGCATAGGTGACCACAGACCCAAACCCTTGGATCTGAGAACAATGAAAAGCATTCAGTTTTTACAAGAAGACTTTTAATAAAAAATAGAAGTAAATAGAAATAAAGAAATCCCCCCTGTAAAATCAGGATGGTAGATATCTTACAGGGTAATTAGATTCAAAAACATAGAGAACCCCTCTAGGCAAAACCTTAAGTTACAAAAAAGATGCACAGACAGAAATAGTTATTCTATTCAGCACAATGCTTTTCTCAGCCATTTAAAGGAATCATAATCTAACACATACCTAGCTAGATTACTTACTAAAAGTTCTAAGACTCCATTCCTGTTCTGTCTCTGGCAAGAGCAGCAGACAGACAGACACAGACCCTTTGTTCCTCTCCCTCCTCCCAGCTTTTGAAAGTATCTTGTCTCCTCATTGGTCATTTTGGTCAGGTGCCAGTGAGGTTACCTTTAGCTTCTTAACCCTTTACAGGTGAGAGGAGCTTTCCCCTGGCCAGGAGGGATTTCAAAGGGGTTTACCCTTCCCTTTATATTTATGACACTAGTCCTATAGGAAAAGGGGAAGAGTCAACGGAGACTACACCAAATATGAGCCCCAGGAGGATACAGGATGGATTGAAGAGGATTACAAGGGAGAACAGGAATGGAAAGAACTTGCAGCCAGAGGGAACGGGGATAGACTGGAGAATAGCACCGTCACCAGGAAAAGGCAGGTCTATGTGATCGGGGACTCTTTACTGAGAAGAATAGACAGGCCTGTAACCAGAGCTGATCCAGAGAATAGAAGGGTATGCTGTCTTCCAGGTGCTAAGATACGGGATGTAGACCTGAGGTTGAAAAGGATCCTAAAGGGAGCAGGAAAGAATCCCCTAATTATCCTTCATGTGGGAACAAATGATACGGCTAGATTCTTGCTGGAAAGTATTAAGGGAGACTATGCTAGCCTGGGGAAGATGCTTAAGGAAATCGAGGCTCAGGTAATCTTTAGTGGGATTCTGCCTGTTCCTAGAGAAGGGCAACAAAGGTGTAACAAGATAATGACTATCAACAGATGGCTTAGGCAGTGGTGCTAGAAGGAGGGCTTTGAGATGTATGGCCACTAGGAGGCATTCATGGACATAGGACAGTTCTCTTGGGATGGACTTCATCTGAGTAGGGAAGGAAATAGACTTCTAGGATGGAGGCTGGCACAACTGATTAAGAGAGCTTTAAACTAGGAATTTGGGGGAGATGGTTGGGAGATGTCCAGGTAATCTCCACACCGGATTTTAGCAATGAGAGGGAAAAAAACGAAGTAAGAAAGGATACAGCCATGGGTAGGAGAATGTATATAAGGAGGAAGGGCAGTGTGGATACCAGTCTAATAGGTTATACTGGCTGTAGAATGACTGTGCCTAATAGGGTACAGAATGTGAGCGAGGCCAAACAGCAAAAATTAAGATGTTTGTATATCAGTGTGAGGAGCCTAGGTAACAAAATGGAGGAACTAGAGCTACTGGTGCAGGAAGTGAAACCAGATATTCTAGGGATAACAGAAACATGGTGGAAGAGTAGTCATGACTGGACTACAGGTATTGAAGGGTATGTGCTGTTTAGGAAAGACAGAAATAACGGTAAAGATGGTGGAGTAGCATTATATATCAATGATGAGGTAGAATGTAAAGAAATAAGAAGCGATGGGATAAGACAGCTTTATGGAATTTATGGATCAGGGTTTAGCTGATCGCCCTATTTGGAGTCGGGAAGGAATTTTCCTCCAGGGCAGATTGGAAGAGGCCCTGGAGGTTTTTCGCCTTCCTCTGTAGCATGGGGCACGGGTCACTTGCTGTAGGATTCTCTGCTCCTTGAAGTCTTTAAACTATGATTTGAGGACTTCAATAGCACAGATATAGGTGTGAGGTTTTTTGCAGGAGTGGTGGGTGAAATTCTGTAGCCTGCGTTGTGCAGGAGGTCAGACTAGATGATCATAATGGTCCCTTCTGACCTAAATATCTATGAATCTATGAATCTACCACTGCAGATACTGTGGGTCTCCGGCTTGCATCCCTGACTAAGGGGGCTATGATTACGCTCAGGGCCGGTTGGTGTTATGCCAAGTAATTTGTAGAGTATGCAGACAAATAATCTATGGGTTCTTCTTCTATCTCTTTGGAAGCAGCCAACTCTGGAAGAGAAGAGGCTGTCCACCAGAGAGAAGGAAATGGGTTAACAGAGGCCACCGGACGGTTCGAGGGTGCTGGGCCTTGGCCTTCCATCTTCAGCTCATTCACTCATGCTTGGAATTCCCGGATGTCCTGTCATTGAGCCTCAAGCATTTGCTGCACTGTTTTAAACATTATTACAACTGAGTTTTTATCTCTATGGGGAGGTGGTGACTTGGATCTCTGCAGGCATGAATTGTTCTAGGCAGCATCTGAAAAGAAAGGAACACGGTCCCAGGCCCCTACTTGGGGTCCAAACGCATAAACCCTGTCAAGGGGCAAGCTCACTCAAAGGTCCAGGATTATTATGTGGGTTGGGGTCATTTTGCCAACACTGGTGCCTAGGGAATTTAGGAACACTTTGGCCTAACCCTGGGAGTCCCTTAATTCTTACGGTGAGATTAGCTTGTGGTTCCTGAAGTATTGCAACAGGGCCTCCACGCCGACCTATTTTAGGGCCTTCCTGAGAATATGCCTTGGCCAGTAAGCCTAATACCTCCTTTAAAGAAGTGTTATTATTTATATGCATGCTAACCTTTTCCTGAAAATGGGGAAGAGAGTTATTGACTAACAAACTAACGTATGGCGACTCATCTGTTTTCCTTTTTAGGTGACTGTGCCATGCTGCACTTAACCGCAGGTGAAATTGATGTGGGAACTTAGGTCTTTGCTTTAGGTTAGACAGGATGGCCTCTCCAGCTTGCCCCGGATGCTGATTATGTTTCAATAGGGCTACTGTGTCTTTAAAAGATTTTTACTCCATAATGCTCGATTCACTGTGAGTTGTAAGATTTTAACCCATCTTCCCTTGATAAGCCAGAACACTTTTAGTGTTTTTTGTACACGTTGTGCATGCATTGCAACTGAAGAATCCTCCATTATTCCTATTTGCTTAGCTACCAGATCTAGGGTCCTAATATTTGTAACCACTGTTACAGGGCAATTAGAATCTGTGGATCTTCTCTCCGGATTGGGATCTGAGTTTGAATTTATAATTTCTATGTTTTGACTTCTCCTACCCAAATCCACATTTCTCTTATCAGAGCTATTAGAATGTGCCTTTGGAAATAATCCTGGCTGAGCAGGGTACCTTTGTATAAAACCTTTACGTCCTATACTTAAGGCATTTCCACACTGACTCAGGACATCTTAGTTCAGTAAATCTGGTGTAGTAGGGTGTTTTACCAGTACACCAGGTGAGACCAGCATATACCAAAGGGGTGTAGAGGGTCCACAAAATTTTAGGGACCTAGGCAATGTTGATGATTGCACAAATGCCAATAAGTGTCCACCCAAAGGGTCTCCTGATCTATATGGTGCCAATGTAACATTGGGTGGAGGAGCAAGAATTGCTTTCCTTGGTTGTTGTATCTTTTTCTGTTGTAACCTAGAGATTACTACATCACAGGCACTAGCTACTTGTGTTACTTGTGACACCACATCTTCTAGTCCCTGGACAATCACAGTTTTTAAAGGTATTTCCACCTTACTATCAGAGGCAGACACTAACAGAGGAGAGGATATTTCTTCCCTCTTTGCTCTGTTTCATCTCATTTTTTACATTACTAGTCGCCTTCTCTATTATGACACTTAACTCCACCTCCTGTGTTGCCACCCTTGGATTTCCTTTTTCTATCTGCAGACTGCTAGTAGCTTCTGCACTGCAAACTTCCTCATTTGACTCTCCCTGTGGCTTCCGAGACTTAATCTTCAACTCCGCTCCTAAAGGTACTGTATCAGCCTGAACTAACTCTCTTGCCCTACTTCTCGTAACTGGCCCTGCAGCATTCTCTATTTCCATTGGTTCCACCATGCCAATACGGTTGGGAACCGACTCTTTGTTCTCCTCTAACACATCTCCTATCTTTTCCAACTCTTTGATTCTTTCCAACAGCAGACCACGGTTTGATTTATAGCTGTCTAGCGATTTTAAGATGGCATTCACTCATTCCTGCCAACAATGTGCTTTCTTTCCTGCTTTCTGTACCTGGTACCTACACTGTTTTAACTTTTTTTTTTTTAAACTCTGCTTCTTTTGGAAAAGTACTGACCGCTCCTCTGAAGCTACATGTAGCCGATTTGGTAAATCCTGAATAACCTTTCCTCCCTCATCCAAAGTTTGCTGGGCTTTCCTGAGTAGCTCTAATTTTTTATTTAATTTTTTTTCCAGCGAACTACAAGCCACGAGCAGACATTTAACAGCTATTTTCTTTACCAGGTTAGCCTCTCTTTTTTTCTGCTTTGTTTTTACTTTAAACACCTCACTTACAAAACCCCATGGGTTCCAGTGCTTGCAATTTTTTTAGCTGTACTAAACCTTCTCCATGTTCCTGAATGTATTTTCTGGCAAAGTTTTTTAAAGCCATACTAAGGGTAACTCTAACAGACTCTACCCTTGCCCTTGCTCCACTCATCTTAACACGTAACTTATTTTAATTTTAAAACTTTACTGTTGACTAGCCTATGTAATCAACTATATAATGAACACTCTTCTGTTCTTTACTCTGAAACTAAAGGCATCCCTTTACAGGAACAACAGGAAACAACACCCCAAACTGGTTTTTACACTTAGTTTAATAAGTCCCAAGTAAACAATAGAGGGGTGGGGGTGAGTTCCCCCTTCTTCCCTCAATGGCTCGTAGCTGATCGAGAGGTTTCTTTCCTCTGTCGGGACCTGCCAAACAGCTGGGGAAAACTGAGGCAGATGGATCAGAGGTGCAGCCCAGGAGAGTTGAGGGGACTGAAATAAGGTAGCTCAAACCGTACAAGTTTTGAGTTACTGTGGCCTTTTGGCAGCAATTAATACATAGATTTATCAACTCCCCCACCACCAGTGTGGGTCATTGGGCTCAATGCTACTGCTAATATCAGTACCATTTGTTATAACTTCAACCTTCAACAAAGCCCCTTAAACGCGTGTATTACTTTAAATAATAATAACACTATTATTTTTTATCTTGCAAGATTAAATTTAAAACCTCTAAGCTAAAACTCTAAGCCAAAACACAGTACGTAACAGGAAATACTGGGATGGCTGCTAAGAAGCAGTCACAGGAAATTAGGTTCCTGTGTTGTTAAGAGTGGGTGAGTAAGACACACAGTCTTGCTCTCTAACTCTAACTCTTTACTTATACCTCAGGGGAGATTTTAAGGGGTCTAAAGATGCCTGGAAATCCTGAAAATCCCTGTCACACACTCCTCGAGACTTGTGCCTGGCTCGCCAGTCTGTTGCCTGATTTAGGAAGTTAATAATATTAATTTGGATAGTATGCGTTTTAGGCTCGCCAATCTGTTTGATCAGAAGATAAAAAGGTTTTTGTTCCGAATCAGGCTCCACAGAATTTACAAAGGACCCTTGGGGGTATGACAAGAAGCTCACACTGAGACAGATATAGCCTTAAAGACTTTTTATTAAGATGAATGAAGCAGTAATTGAATGGTAAAATAAACAGAGTTACAAAGTTACAGTTGTATTACTGCTATTTAAAAGATATATATGGTATTATGGTATTATATGCTACAAAGGTTTGATTAATATACTTAGTTAGTATACTAGTTAGTATACCCTTTCTTGATAACCAGGTGGCGAGAGACACAGGACCAGCCTCGCCTCTGGCAGTTCAGGTTCCTCAATTCTCGAATGAGAGGTGCAAAGCTTAGAAGAAGCTAGAGCTATCGAAGCTAAATTAGAGTTTACTTAACTAACTTAAACTTAAAATTAAAACCTAATAAACAAAACTAAGAACAAAGCTTAAGGAAACTGAGCTCAGCCTAGTTCCCTTGGAACTTAGAAAGTTTAAGAAAAACAAGTACAGGCTCCCCTAGCAAGGTGGGTCACTTCTTTTATAGGGCACAGGTGCCTGAACCCTCCTTCTATGCCCAAACTTCATTTCTCACCCACAAAAATGTTAGCGTACTCTTACTCCATAGACTAGTATGTTTGTACATATTGATGACATGTACATATATATTAATGACATTAGATTATACACACACGTTATTTCGGTTCTTTCCTTGTGGTGTACCTGTTAAGTTTGAGGGTACAAGCTTGGAAACCCCCTATGCCATTCTACCTATATCTATCTATCTAGGTGAAAGGTCTCAGACATAACTTTGCCTTAGCTCAACATACAGGATATGGCCTGTAGGTCCCTTGCATTACAGCCTAACTTACTTTAATATAAATCTATAGACCTGTTACAATAAACCAAATACTTAAAATATAAGAAGATATATATATATGCAAGCAAGCAGGTTAATTCTATAGGCTACAATTGACAATTTTATCTTTATTGTAAAATGCATTTAGCAAAGCATTCATTATAAGGACTAGAGATATTTTGTGTTTTCAATACACCAGATTAATTCAAGAAAAAAATGTTAAATATTATCTGCTTTCTGTTATATAAAATGGGGGCAAGGAGGGACCACCAGCACACCTCAACAAATAGTTTGGAATTAGGGGTATGGTAAATATATCTTGGAAACATTCTGTACTGATGCTGAAATGTCTATAAAGTTTGAGAGAATGATTTACTCTCTTTCATGTTTTGATTCTGAAGTACTCTAAATCTTGTGTGTGATTACATTACTGTTGCACTGAGTAATAATGGCCCAACATAAATTTGTGTGACAGGAAAAGAGTCTTGGGGCCAGATTCTGGCCCCTGCTCCAGAAGCATAAAAAAGCCCCCCAAGGGGGATTCTCCAAATGTAGGGCCAGCAAAAGAGCCACTGTACGTAGCCTTGTGTTGCCCTTCTGCACTGCCCTCAGAGTAGATCTGGGAGGGAGCAGGAAGTGAGTGGCCATGTTACTTTGCAGTTGCACACTGTCAACTCTTGACCATAGGCAGGTATTAGAAGGCTGCTGTAAATTAGAGCAGTCCCTGTGAACTGGGTACTGATAGGAGATGTCTCATAACTTGGCATTTCCTTGTTCAAGTTTGACATTCCCCATTGTCCCAAAGCAAACCCTTAAGAACAATCTTAAACATTTTGTTTAAAAAAAATTTGTGGTATTTCCTGGGGTTTTAATACAGCACATGTAAGAAGCTGGGGGGAGAGGATGCAGGGGTGTGCAATGGTACATGTGGATGCTGAGGGTGCATGAGAGCTAACTGCTGGGAGTACAGCAGGTCTTCATTACCTGTAATCCTAACTCTGACACAACGGTGCCTGCATTCCTGGGGTGGGGAAGCCTGTCAAATGCCACATCTGTTTACCTGGGCCAACTGTGGCTTCTGAAGCATTGGAGCCTCTCCTAAAGCCACAGTGCTTCAACAGTGGCAGTCAAGCCCCAGTGTTGGAGTTCATAGTTCCCCTCTCCAGGAAGTTTGGCCATTATTCCTTCTGACTGAACTGAGGTCTGCAGGATTTCCTCTGCAGTTTCCTCTCCAGTTTTCTAACCATAGAGCACAGAGAGAAGCCAAGAGAAGGCTAAAAGGGGATATGAGTACTCTCCCTACATACATTATAGGGTAAATATCAGGAGGGTGAAGAGCTATTTAAGCTAAAGGACAGTAGTTGGCACAAGAACAAATGGAAATAAACTGGCCATGAACAAATTTAGGGTGGAAATTAGTAGGTGGTTTCTAACCATCAGAGGGGAGAAGTTCTGGAACACAATCCCAATAGGAGCTGTCAGAGTAAACAATTTAATTATTTTGAAGAAATTAGCTGATTATTAAGCAAAGTGAATTGTATCTGTTCCTCAGTTTTTAAGTAGTTTTAATTATATTGCAAGTTTGAAGGGTAACTGACAGTTGTTTGTTAGCGAGAGGGACCTGAAAAAAGGTGAAAGACTCAGAAAAATTTGTAAAGGGCCCATTTAAAATTCATTTAAACTCCTGAATTAACAGATTTAGTTGAAAGTCCTCTGAAAATTCAGTCTTAATAGATTATGTTCTTCAAGTTTGGGGAAGATGCATCATATGAGGTTGAGTGCCTGTTTTAACTGGAAAAATTGAATCCACCCTTAATTATAGAGGTACAACAAAACCTCTTTAATATATCAGAAAGAGGTGTCAGAGCAGGAGGCCATGGCTCCGTATAGCTGGGTTCTGTTCCTAGTCTTGCCACATGCCTTGGGTGCATCACATTCTCTGTCCCTCACTTTTCTTTCTCTGTTTAAGTTAGAAATAATACTGTGCTCATGAAGGGACTTAATTAGTATTTAAGTGATTTGAGATCCTCTACTAGAAAGTGCTATCAAAGTCCAAGAAATATACATTTTAAAGTATATATGCTGAGATGTTCTGATTTTGTAATGAACTGAGTAACATATGCATCATTAAAATATAGGTCACAAGAGAATTAAGACATGAGCACTCCCTGAAGATCCTTAAATAAAAAGGGAAAGGACTACATTACTTCTGACAAGAAATACCTAAACTAAACTTCCCAAATCTGTGCTTAATTCCTACAAAGAAAGCACAGGCTGCATGGTAAGAGACTATAAAAGGCAGCTGCATCTTCTCCATTTTATCTTCAGTCCTGCTTCTTACCTCTGGAGGAACTTTGCTACAAATTGAAGCTCTGAACAAAGGACTGAATGACCCATCCAAGCTGCGGATGTACTCCAGAGATTTGATTTGAACCTGCAGTTTATTCCATCACTGCTACAAGCTGGAACCAAGAACTTTGCCATTACTGTATATAATTAAGTCCATTTAACCAATTCTAGCTCTCATCTATATTTTTTTCCTTTTATGAATAAAGCTTTAGATTTTAGATTCTAAAGGATTGGCAACAGCGTCATTTGTGGGTAAGATCTAACTTGCATATTGACCTGGGTATGGGGCTTGGTCCTTTGGGATCGAGAGAACCTTTTTTTTCTTTTACTGGGACATTGGTTTTCATAACCATTCATCCCCATAAAGAGTGGTACTGGTGGTGATATTGGGAAACTGGAGTGTCTAAGAGAATTGCTTGTGTGACTTATGGTTAGCCAGCGGGGTAAAACCAAAGTCCTCTCTGTTTGGCTGGTTTGGTTTCCCTTGGTGTGCAAAGGAATCCCAGCCTTGGGCTGTAACTGCCCAGCTTTAAGTAATTTGTCCTGAATTGGTACTCTCATTTGGGTCCCACCAAAACCAGCATCGTTACATCACCCGCAAGGAATTTTGAATAATCTGACTAAACATTTTCCTCTCCTCTCAGGGAGGAGAAACTTAAACTAGGAAGTGCAGGGTTGAGGGGGCTTGCTAGGAACCAAGATGGATAA